TTTTTATATTAAGGACATAGGCCTTGCCAGCCTGGAACTTCAAGCAAGATTGACAAATACTTACTGCACCACATGATTGTAAGGTGACCTTCTGGTGTTAGGCCTCTTCCTCTAAGGAACTTTGGACTGACCCTTAAAAAAGGAAAACATTATTAACTCAGGAACCAGATTTTTTTTTTTTTTTTCCCAAATAATATTGGTATTGCTGGCGAGAACGTCTGGATCAGAAAGGCAATAAGAAAAGCTTGAAATATCTGCTGCTGACAACCAAATGCAACAGCATCTGGAGCAACACAAAACAATTTACGCATATGTGTATTTCTGATTTCCCTTTCCCTTTGCTCTTGCATTTCTGCTATATTTGATCATGACACTCCATAAATGTACAGTCTGCACAGTCCAGCCAGCATAGATGTAAGAAATCATCTCTGCATTCACAGGCATGTCTTGCACAGTGACTGCATCCAGCCTGACTTTAATTACAGTTTCATATGTTTTGAGACAGTGTGCAAGGTCTCCTCATTCTCCCTCTCTGTGTCATAGGCAAAGACATTGGGTAGGCTGACTAAGAGATGTGAGCTGAACTGTCCAAGCTAGGAGGAACAGACTGAAACTCCTAGATTTGGAATTACAAACTGCCAGCATCATCATTGTCCTCTTCTTCTTCTGCCTCCTGGAAGAGACAAAAACAGGTGCATTACAAGCTTCATAACACAATGCTATAAATTTTGTGAGAGTTCTTCCTAACAAACTGAGTGTTTTGCTCAGAACACATTAAGAAGCAGAATAATGCTGTGAAACAAAAGTGGGCTTTTTGGCTTTAGGGGAGGGAGGGAGGGGGGGAGGGGAGGGAGGAGGGAGGGAGGGGAGGAGGGAGGGAGGGAGGGAGGAAGGAAGGAAGGAAGGAAGGCAAGAAGGAGGAAGGAGGAAGGAAGGACGGAAGGAAGGAAGGAGGAGGAAGGAGGGGAAGGAAGAAGGAAGGAAGAAGGAAGGAAGGAGAAGGAAGGGAAGGAGGAGGAAGGGAGGACGGGAGGAAGGGAGGAAGGGGGAGAGGACGGAGGAAGGAAGGAAGGAAGGAAGGAAGGAAAGGAAGGAAGGAAGGAAGGAAGGAGGAGAGGCAGGAAGGAAGGAAGGAGGAAGGAAGGAAGGACGGAAGGAAGGAAGGGCGGAAGGGAAGGGAGGAAGGGAGGGAGCGGAGGAAGGAAGGGAAGGAAGGAAGGAAGGAAGGAAGGGAGGCAAGGGGAGGACGGAAGGGGGAGGGAGGAGGCAGGGAGCGAAGGAATTAAGGACGGAAGGACGGCCTGCGTGACGGAAGTTCGAGGCCGTTGGAATGCGTCTCCTGCCTTCTGCATGCATTCTGCCGTAGAATGGCCGGCCTTCGGATGCTGGCCGTTCCTATTCTTCCATTCTTCCTTCCTTCACTTCATTCCTTCCTTCCTTCTTCCTTTTTCTTTCTTCTTCTTCTTCTTTCTTTCTTTCTTTCTTTCTTCTTTCTTTCATTTTTTCCCCCTTCCCCTACTCCAGTGAAGACATGCATTAGAGTTACTTGGGTCATTACAAAGCTGAGACATTGACAAAAGCAGACACTGAGTGACGGGCAGGATTCCTTGTTCTACTTAAGAAACACTAAGTCCCTCCCAGAGAAGGCGAGGGAGAAGACATCCTTACACTCATAGCTGCCTGAGTACTCCCACAGCTTCGGCTGACAAGTCAGGTTCCACGTCTCAGCCCTAGGAGGCAGCAGATCTAGGAAAGGAAAATAGGCGTATTGGTGGGCTGAGATGAAAGAGAAAGGTGTGGCAGGGAACAAAAAAGGTTCTGCACTTGGCCATGTCATTGCTGCTAGAAGGAGATCGGCCTTAAGGGACACTACATAATTTATTTCATATCATTAAAGGGCACATGGAGTGCGATTCAGATTTATCAGGCAGAGTATGAGCTGCAGCCTGGGTATCAGTAGAGTTAGTGGACTCAGTGGCACCAAAAGATACTTGTGTTAATGCTCACAGAGTTATCACATTAGGGTAACAGGATAAGGAGCAGAAGAACAGAATAAGCATTAGTAGACCTGAGAAAAACAGAAGTACACTGAAGGAAGGTGCTTAAAAGGAAACAACTCTGCATGACCAAAACTAATATGTGGTACAAACTTTGCCTCTGACAGCCTAGACAAGCCTTTCAGTTGTGAGGTACAAATAACTCCATTGGTAAGAAATAACAGTCAAACACAACCCACAGCACAGTTTCTGCAAGTGAAATATGGATCTGGAGGCTGCCAGGCAACCTCTATTGTTGAGCAGGCCTAATAGCACTCAACCTTTAATGATAACCAGATCATCCTAGAGTCGCATTTTCTTTTCAAATGTCTGAAAGCAGCTGAGAAAGGGAGCACAAGTGTGTTTGTCTAGCAGTCATGCTTGAAGGAACAGATAAAGGTGTTGGGGAGAAATGAGACTATGACTAAAAAAGTATAAGATAAAATCTGTCTTACCTCTTGCATGGTGGCACATTTACAAAAGCATTTGATGGACACTCCTAACAAATCTGTCCCACTCAATTGTTGTTACAATAGTATTTAAGAGTAAGCAAGAAAAACAAGGCCTGAAAATTTGATGAGTAAATCCTGTGACATTTCTGAACATACTTGCTACCCAGAAAGTCTACAAAACTTCCAAACTGCAAAAATTTTGATAAAATACATGAGTGAAAGATGAAATTAGACAGTCAAAAGGGTCATAACAAAACAGAAATGTGTGGTTTGATTCTGGGCATGGCTTATATAAATAGTTCTGGTATCTGTGATATATAGAGACTCTAGCATCAAAATGAGGTCCCATCTTTGTCTCTGACACATAGGGAAAACAGGATAACACAGTGAAAGAACAGTATTAACCTCAGTACATCTATTCTCACAAATTTGCAACACAATAATAATTAGGATTTAAGTTCTCATTCAGACAAATCAAGTCAAGATATATAGAAGCTAGTGTTCACTCAAAGATACATAACAATCTCCTGTAGTCGAGGCCACCAGGTCTTTGAAGCTGGACGCTTGCTAGGCACTAGCTGCTTTCTCTGAGAGGACAGAGGAAGAAGTGGCTAGAGATTTGATTTAACTGCAAATTCTGATAAACCATTATTTTTAACCAGAAAGACAAATTTTCTAACAGTTTTTACTTACCTCCTTGCCTTGAACATGTTTTCACAGTAAAGCTTTGAAGCTATAAAAATACTCATCTAGGTAGTTTAAAACAGGACTTACTGTCTCAGTCTGGGACAGAAATACTGTTCACTTAGAGTTGATATTTTGCATCTGGTTTGAGAATCAGGCTTAATTAACAGGCATAGAATTTCATTCCACTGATTATTCTGATCTAAATCCAAAAAACATTAATAAATTAGGTGTGTAGCCATGAAGAATTTGCTGAAGAAAAGCATATTACTTTTCTAGATACAAGATATAACAATTGAAGAATTTAAAAATTCTGGGAACTCACAATTTTTGTGCTAATATGTAAAAATATTTTGTGGCCTTTAAGAATGGCTGTTTATCTAAATGGTTTTGTTCATTTTTTAAAGCTACTTCTGCTATATATTATATCTAAATGGATTATAATCGAAGGAAATTAAATTACTTTGGTCCTCCTTGGCAGGACTTTGTGTAACTGTCAGTCGTACTGCATTGCATGTACAACGACGATGGTATTTTGCACTGTGCTATGCAGAACTATGCAGAAATGCTTGAGTTAGCACTGAATTAGCTGGCTTCAGAGCTGGATAGATTAATGGGGGAACGGTGCCATTCTAACTGGGCACTGAGTTATCATAGCTCAAGCTAGCGCCTCTCGCTGTCCCCAGCTGTGCAGACTGCTGTCTCACAGGTATTCAGGAAATTCTAAACCACACTGGATTGTGCAGGGCAGAGGTACACTTTTGCACACTTGAAGAGAAAACAAAGTACGTTTTTTTTCTTCTCCCCTTTTCTGCTCCTCTTTTTCTTTTGATTCACATCAGCTTCAAGGGAAAATGCATGATAATGAAGGGGCATAAATGAAGTTTAAGATTTCTCTAATCCTTTCTCCCCTGTAGTACATCTTACATCTTCTCAATCATTTTTAAGTTCTGTACTGAATTATTTTTCCATAACTAAATAATAATAATAATAATAACAACCATTAAAAATATAATGCTATTATACTACCAAGAAAATTGACAGGGGAAGCTAAGTAGCTTAAACTGTTTTTGGAAGCTAATGGAATATCAAATTGATAGAGCTCTAGCAATGTTATTTGATAAATTGTCCACATGCAAGCTATTGCACAGTAAATGTACAAAAAGTTTTTCCTCCTACTTTCACTAGTACACTGGATCTCTATAAATACTGCATCATCTGGAGTTGTGGACAAATGGTCGGAAGAATTTTAGATATGAGTGGGTAAACTAAAAAGAAAATGAAAATAATTACTGATGAGAAATTAACAGTGTATAAACGTAACTCACAGTTTAAGCAGTACTTCAGGAAAATGAAGTATTTCCTTTCACTACCACTTTGATTTTGATGAAAGAAAGGAACTCATAAACCATGTTAAAGGGATACTATTCCAGCGTAGCTTCCTTTTTTTCCCCTTCCAGGCTTGTTTGAAAATTGATTAGTGATACTAAATAATACCTTTTTATTTTTATTTATTTGTTTATTTATTTTAAGATTGGCCAAATCTGGTCTTTAAAGCATTTAAAAAGCAATAAGGAGAAACACATCAGCATTTTTAGATCATAATTATTTACAAATTCATATGCTGAATTTATTTCATGATTTGACCACATTATGGAATATAAACACACAAGCGTACCCATTTTCTTCTGTGATAAGGCATTTAATTTGTCTCAGACTAAAATTTTCTTCAGAAAGATGCCTACCTCTGATTTGAAGATAACAATATTTTGAAACCCTTATGTGCAGCTAAACTACTTTTTTTCTTATTTTGCTTTCCTACGACTAGGAAATAAAACCTTGCAATGTGACTAAATAGTGACACAAGACAAATGAGACTCTACATTTCAAAAAGTTGTTTCAGGTACGTATAAGGTATTAGGATTTTACCCTAACGTTTAATTAACTATTTATTTATTTATTTTTTATGTTCTGGGTACAAGACCCTTGAAAACTGCATTGTTTGTTGTTGGTGGTGGTGGTGGTTTTTGAGTTGCAATACAATTATCATAATTTGTAAAAATTCTAGGCTGCTACTTGACAATGTCACTGTTGTGCACAATTCTGAGATGGGACATATGTTAAGGATGAAACTGGAGTAGCAACAGAATGAATGTATCATAAACACCATAAGACTGGTCCCAGCAGTGAACAGTCAACTGTTCCTCTTTTCATCATTTAGAAAGCCCAGATGAATGATGCAAATTATGGAGTTGCCAGGTCTGGAAAGTAATTATTTTTAACTGAAAGTGGAATCACCCTTTCCTGAAAAAAGAAATACACTTCAACTACGAAAGAGATAAGGAGACATAGATAGATCAATGAGTATTTTCATACTGATGTGAATTGGTACTCTTAAAGAAAACTCCTCTATGCAGCAACATAGAGCTCCATGCTTTCTTTCTGCAGAAAAGAAAGGAGCAAGTGGTTGAAAGAAAGATGAGGAAGAGCCTGGAAAGTTTCTGCAGATAAGAACTATGAAAATGCAATCTCACAGCACAATTATCTGTATCTTTTTATTTATGTATTTTTAATTTATTTATTTTCTGTGTGATGAGAAATGCAGCAAATATCAGCAGAATGCCAGGAACTGTGACTGCATATACCATTTTGGCTAATAAGCCCACATAAAGCAAGTCAGAAAAAGTGCTGCATAATTCACTAAAGATAGAACTTGTGTTATGCTTCCCTCTGCATGCTCTTAATTCTGCTGGAAAAGATATGGTGGCCCGGAGAGTTTCTTCAGCTGTGCAAATATACTAGCATTCCATTTCAGTGTTGCTTTAGGAAATAATAATTTAAGACATTTTTGAAAAAGGAAGATCATTTTGGTGTCTATGGTAAGCATTCAACATAAGATTCCCACAAGCTCTGTGTGTGTGTGTGTTCATTCCTTACTATTCATATAATTTCTGAGACAGTAGGAGACTTTGCACTCTGGAAAACCTTTATTTTTTTTTCTCATTTTCCCCACCTCTTTTGGTTGAGTATCACTTGAGAATTGGGACAATTCAGTGAAACTTGAACTCCCTCATATTTGTAACACTAGTGTAGGTTAGAACCATATGGAGCTGAAAGGCTTTCATTACCAAACTATTTTTTTCAAAATTTTCATCACATTTATTATAAGTTTTTGGTTGTGCTCTTCTCTTTCTGCATAACAGCCTTACATAATGAAAAGGCTGAATCTCAGATACCATGGAGATCTCAGGTAACTTCTCCATTCCAGAACATATTTTTCAGTATGACCAGTCTGATGACGTTGCTCAACATACTTATGGATTTAGAAAAAATAAATAAATAAAAATAAATAATGGCATTGAATTGGAAGCCTAAAACCCATGTGAAAAAAAAAAAAATAAAAAATCTCATCAGTCAAACAATAACTTTGTTATTAGGAAATACAAAAAGCTGGTAGCAAAGCGTAGCAGAACTGGAAATAATTTTCCATTACTGCTTATAAACTTCATGTGGGTTTTGTACTGGGGAACTGATCCCAGGTAGCTTCAAAGCTGCTAGGAAATCCCTCACGTATTTTAAAATCCATAGTAATCTGAGATGTATTGACTTCAAAACCTGGCTATAAACATCCAGAGAGAAAATGACTTACAAATCAGACATACATACATGGTCTCTAGCTGAGTTCTGAGAAAGATGAAGTTGACTGGCAAGCCATCAAATAGTTTGCATACAAGATGTTTAAAACCTGTTGTCTATGATAATCTACCCAAAGTAAAAGCAAGCCATTCACAAGAACCTATGTAACAGACTGATGTGCAGAAAGAGTGTGTGACTTTAGAAATCTAGACTGTAATTAAACAAAAACCCTTTGACAACGGAACTCTGGAGGACAATGACTTCGGAGTGGTCCTTGAAGGGTCCCAAAGAGTTAGCACGGAGTGCCTTAGGCGTGATCGTTGCTGCTGTACCTCCCATGGCAGGGAGAAAAGGGGCCTCTCCAGCTCGTGCACCTGCACGTGGGCACACGTCCGCATGTTTAAGCTGTCAGCAGCGCGTTTCTCCTCGCGTCAGCTATCGGGAACACCTACAGAGCCTCCAACATCCCCCTAAATCCACGCCGCCCGGACGGCTGCGGGCGGGGCAGCCGCCCCAAAACCCGCCCCTCTCCCCCCGGCGGGAACAGGGGGAGCCGGGGGGCGGTGGGGGACGGCGGGGGGCGGTGCTGGCCGCCCTCCCGGCCCGGCCCCACGCAGGGGAAGGGATAAATCGCGGCCGCCCCGTCCCCGCCGTCCGTGTGCGGTGGTGGCGGCGGCGGCGGCGGGGGGCTTGGGGTCGGGCTGCCTGGAGGGGGGCGGCTCTCGGCGGGCACCGCCGGCATGGGGGCCGGCGGGGGGCTGGGGCTGGGGCATGGTTTGGGGCAGAGGCAGGGGCAGGGGCAGGGGCTGGTGGCCCTGCTTGTGGCTGTGCTGGCGGCCGTCGCGCTGGGAGGCACCGGGGCGCTCGCCGGGCGCGTCCTCAGCGGTGAGTAGCGGGGCCGGGGGTCGGCGTCGAGGGGGTTTCGGCGGCCGGGGCAGCGGTGACAAAGCAGGGGGGGTGCGGGAGCAAGGCAGGAGATACATGAACTTGCAGGCTGGCGGCCGGCTGGTGGGCGTGCTGGTGGGCGAGCGGCTTCGTGCTTGGCCAGCCCGGCTTCCCTGGGGCTCCCGCAGTAGTAGCCCCGCGTTTGGTGGCCCGGTGGTGGACTAGTGGCTGGCAGGCTGAGAGTGAGCTCGGCTGGACCAGTGCGCCCAGCAGAGCCTGGAGCTGCTGGGATCCCGGCTCGGCAGAGACAGGAGGCTCAGCGGCCAAACTTCTGCATTAGCTTTGAGTTGGCTCCTGGCACCATGGGGTTTTCTTGTACAGTTTTAAGGCTGCCTGCCTGTCCTGAAATGTAGGCACTGCTTAAAACCAGAGCATGGACTTGCTACGTTGCCGTTCTGAGAAACAGCTATGCAGTGAGATGTGTTTCAAACGACAGGGGAATGTTTCTTCTCTTTGTAACATAGGTGGGAGGAGGAAGTAAACTATTAAGGATGTACAGCATACGTAATTTTGTTATGTGCGGGTGTATCTACAGCTTTCTCAAAGTGGAGAAGAAAACAATACTTCAGAAATCTGTGAGGTTAAACTTAGTGTAAAAGCTTTAGGATCCCATTGTGTGTTTCCAACACACAGAAATATATATGCTTGGAAGCTGCTAAAAGTAACAAAAAGGCTGTTCTCAGTTGGGCTTTGGGTCAGATCCTCCAAGCTAAAGCTAATGGGCTCTTGGAGGTGTGTTGGGCACACAAGCAAATCCAAACGTTTATCTTGAAACAAAGATTTACACACTTGGCTGCACTTATCATAGAATAATAGAATATCCCAAGTTGGAAGGGACCCGTAAGGATCATCAAGTCCAACTCCTGGCACTGCGCAGGTCTACTCAAAATTTTAGACAATGTGACTTAAGTGCACAGTTAATAAGTCGTGTGTAAATCTCTGTCTATGCAGGTAAGAATGTTGTCTCTTCATAAATTGACTGCAGAACAATGCAATTTATTTTTATATGAGCTGTCTCAGAGACTGTGATGGTGAAACGTCAAGGAAAGTCGTAAGGTTTTTGGTAGTAAGCAGTAGGTTGCTGACTGCAGGCAGTTTCCTTGTTAGTTGCTAATGGAGTAGTCACTGCCCACTGCAATGATGTCCTATTTATTGCAAGTTCATGTGCACAGCTGAGGTGTGCTTTTGTGTGTGAGAGAAATTATCTTTCAGGAAAAATAAAGTAGCAATAGTTTAAAACATTTTGTAAAAGCTTGCCTGCCTAGAGTGTACCTAGATGTTTAATCTCTTTCTGTTAACATGTAAACTGTGTAGTCATATACAGTAGAGCAAAACTCTTAGTTTAACAATTTGAATGAATAATGTACTGCACTTCATTGTTGTAAGTAATAGTGAAGGTTGCTCATCCATGAGATTGCACTTTGCTTTTAGTATTCTTGGTATGTCTGAAGGAAACCTGGACCCTTAATCTTCTACCTGAATCTTGTGCATTTAAGTGACACATACAGCACAATGAACAGAGGTCCAGCTTTTAAAACAGTGTACATAATGTGTACCACATAATCAAACAATTCCTAGGTGCACAAAAGGCTTCAGGTTTTAGAGAGAATACAGGCTACACCCTGTATATCAGTGAATTATTTAAAAGCATGTGATGAGTCTTATGTTTCTCTATTATGCTAGCTAATGTTTGGCTGATTTAATACAGGAGATTTGAAGTCACTTGCAGAAGAAGTCCTTTATGTACTATTAAATATATTGGCTGAAGTTGTATTCAATAGACAAAGGGAATCCATTCTAGGCAGTAACTGTCAAAGATATTTAGCATGCTTATTTCCAGAAATACTGGCAGGAAGGAGGACTGACTGTTTCCCACCTGAACCACACCCCTCTCCTGCCACGTGCACATGGATAGGTCTAGTCCAACTACTAGTCTGCACTCTTTCAAGCAAGAAATAGTACTGTTGAATTATTGGACAGTGTTTGCTGTCCACATCACTTCAGTCTAGCTTATCTGTATACAATAACCAACTGTTTGGACTTAAGCAGGCTTCCATTAAATGTAGAAGTCTACATCTTATACAGAGCTGATTCTGAAAAATCAGTAACTTAGCCTTCAATCATCATAATCTACAGTAAATGCAAATCTCTCCACTTTCCAAATATGTTTAAAAATAGAATCCCTATAATTCACATTAAAAAAAAAATATGAAACTGACGAGTACCGGTTGAAATTTGTGGAAAGGCTCCCAGTAACTGCAGTAAGTTTCCAGCAGTCCTAGCAATAATCGCAAAATTGCAACCATTTTGCCCACAGCAGCAAGAGGGCACAGAAGAAAAGGTCTACACTTTCAAAATGCTATTTCCTTAGCTAAAGGTTTCCTGTTTCTTTTTTTTCCAAGCATGTTAGTCTTCCTGTGGGTAGATTATTTGCACCAGGCCATTCCTATTTAGGCATTATTTCTGTCATCTTTAATTTGGCAATTGCTAAAGAGAAGTTATGCCAGTGTTTTGTAATTCTTAATGTTGCTAGGCAGATGTATTGAGCAGTGCTCACAGACTCCCTATCAGAGTATCTAGTCTTGCCAGGGAATTGATTTTTGAAGAAAAGGATCAAAGCAGGCTCAGGAGAAACTGCTGAGTCTGCCTTGCTGTCCCATGACATCATGAAGAACATAAAGTGATGATAATGCAGTTTGCAAAGATGCAATTACTTTAAGTATCTATTGGGCAGGAAAGATGCAAGCTAATCTTATTACTAATCATTTAACAGCCTATGTATTAATCATAAAAAATATACTTTAATGACCACCATTTGCTGTCCTTTTATATTTCTAAGGCTTTTAATTTTTTTCTCTTAACTGTGGCAGTGTATCAATAACAGGTTAAGTACTAGATACAGTATTTTAGAGCAGTATGTGCCTATTTTGGTGTAAAAGTAATTGAATAGAATACTGAATAAAGTTGAATATTTGGCAGGCCACGAAACAACAATTTTTTCTTGAACTATAGGCTCATTTGCTTCAGATACCTTTGAGGATGTAGATGTGTTCATTTGCACAGTTTATTAACTGGATTTGAGATAGCTGTAAAATCATTAAAGATGTATTTTCATGGGTAATAAATTGGATAGACATAACAACCCCTTTCTCAAAAGGCAAAATTTAATTTAGTTCAGCTGGCTTGGACCGTTTATGACACATGAGTTTTGTCTGGCTTTAATGTCTTTCAGTAGTTTTGGTAGGTGAAACCTGCTGGTTTTAGTAACACGGTCTGTTATTTTTAAGCTACATTAATAGTTCAGAATTTGGAACAGTGTTATTAAAAAAACACTGCATGTTTCATCTAGAAGAGATATGGTGTTTGTTACACAGCTATCGCATGTGTACTTTGTTGCAAATGTTCAGCATTTGGTTCCATACTGGAAATATTTTTTTTTAATGGAAATGCATATACACGTGGTACAAGATATTTTTGTTTGATTGATTTAAACATAGAATCACAGAATTTCTAGGTTGGGAGAGACCTCAAGATCATCGAGTCCAACCTCTGACCTAACACTAACAAGTCCTCCACTAAAGCATATCCCTAAGCTCTACATCTAAATGTCTTTTAAAGACTTCCAGGGATGGTGACTCCACCACCTCCCTGGGCAGCCTGTTCCAATGCCTAACAACCCTTTCGGTAAAGTTCTTCCCAACATCCAACCTAAAACTCCCGTGGCGCAACTTTAGCTCATTCCCCCTCGTCCTGTCACCAGGCATGTGGGAGAACAGACCAACCCCCCACCTCACTACAGCCTCCTTTAAGGTACCTGTAGAGAGCGATAAGGTCGCCTCTGAGCCTCCTTTTCTCCAGGCTGAACAAGCCCAGCTCCCTCAGCCGCTCCTCGTAGGACTTGTTCTCCAGACCCCTCACCAGCTTTGTCGCCCTTCTCTGGACCCGCTCAAGCACCTTGATGTCCTTCTTGTAGCGAGGGGCCCAAAACTGAACACAGTACTCGAGGTGCGGCCTCACCAGAGCCGAGTACAGGGGGACGATCACCTCCCTAGCCCTGCTGGTCACACTGTTTCTGATACAAGCCAGGATGCCGTTGGCCTTCTTGGCCACCTGAGCACACTGCTGGCTCATATTCAGCCGACTATCCACCATCACTCCCAGGTCCTTCTCTGCCTGGCAGCTCTCCAACCACTCATCTCCCAGCCTGTAGCTCTGCTTGGGGTTATTGTGCCCCAGGTGCAGGACCTGGCACTTGGCCTTGTTAAACTTCATGCAGTTGACCTCAGCCCATCGGTGCAGCCTATCCAGATCCTCCTGCAGAACCTTCCTACCCTCGAGCAGATCGACACATGCACCTAACTTGGTGTCATCTGCAAACTTACTGAGGGTGCACTCAATGCCCTCATCCAGATCATCGATGAAGATATTAAAGAGGACCAGCCCCAGCACCGAGCCCTGGGGAATGCCACTAGTGACCGGCCTCCAACTGGATTTGACTCCATTCACCACGACTCTTTGGGCCCATCTATCCAGCCAGTTTCTAACCCAATGAAGCGTACGCCAGTCCAAGCCAAGAGCAGCCAGTTTCTTGAGGAGAATGCTGTGGGAGACGGTGTCAAAAACCTTGCTGAATTCAAGGTAGACCACATCCACAGCCTTTCCCTCATCCACCCAGCGCATCACTTTGTCATAGAAGGAGATCAGATTCGTCAAGCAGGACCTGCCTTTCATAAACCCATGCTGGCTGGGCCTGATCGCCTGCTTGCCCTGCAAGTGCCGTGTGATGACTCTCAAGATATCTGCTCCATGAGCCTCCGCTGAGGTCAAACTAACATGCCTATAGTTTCCTAAGTCTACCTTCCGGCCCTTCTTGTAGATGGGCGTCACATTTGCTAGCCAACAATCAGCTGGGACCTCCCCTGATACCCAGGACTGCCAAT